AAAAGCTGTCATCTCATTAGTATGTTTGCAATGTCTCTGACAGCTATTTTTTTTTACCCCAAGAAACTTTGTTGTAGTGACGTTATTGTGTTCACAGATTTTAACTGGGGACCAAGATATCATGACGGATGCAAATTATTTCTTGAGCTATGAAAAAAAAAAAAAAAACTGGTTGTGATGGACCGGAATTATCACTGACACACTTGGGAGCTGTCTATTACAACAACCAGTATCCCATCTGTTTGGTGGGACCCTTTGGGTAAAGATACTCTTGTTTTTGCCGCCACAGACAAAATCCCAGTTTAATGTGGCTTCATGCTGGGAAGCCAACATGGCAAAGGTAACACATACAAATCTGGAGCACAAGCATGCAGCGAAGTTTCTTCACTGCATCAGTCAAACACAAGACTCTTCCACCATTCTGGGGGGTTTGACTAAGCCTGCTGTTTTGCCTGGCTACTAAACAAAACCTCGAATGACCTACTTTCATTCCTACACCAATTCCTCCAGCCTTTGCCTCTTCACACACGCACGTCAGCTAATACAGTGGGACTAAATGAGGATTGAAAGTGTGAAGTGGATCGCCCCAAACACAAGACATACAAAGCACTACTGATATCAGCTTCCTTTCCAAATGTAAAGGGAGACAGTTTCTAACCCAGAGGATGGTCCAGTCAAAAAGAAAGTTGAAGAAATCATATCCTGTGGGGCAAATTGTTTTTTAGAATACAAACAAGCTGTTTGGGATGAGAGTGCACAGTGGTAAATCACTGGCCTACAGGCTATCAACAACCTCCTGCATCCAAAACACAATTCAATTATGGATTGTGCAGCAACTATAGAGTAACAGGAAACATTTACAACAGCAACACTAATTATGTTTGGATCCAATTCCACAGGAAGTCATTACCATAGATTTCATGAATATCTTTATCATCCAAGTTAAGGAAGAATTTCCTTCTCTGGTTGGGATAATATTTGTGTTGGTGTCAGTGAGAGGACAGCGAGCAGAGCGCTGAGGACAGCGAGCAGAGCGCTGAGGACAGCGAGCAGAGCGCTGAGGACAGCGAGCAGAGCGCTGAGGACAGCGAGCGAGCAGAGCGCTGAGGACAGCGAGCAGAGCGCTGAGGACAGCGAGCAGAGCGCTGTGAACGGGGCTGGTGTTTCTGACAGAAAAGGGAAGGGCTACAACGTCTGGAAGAGAAAACAAGCAGAAGCATCTGACAAATGTCCTCTCCCAATCTTGGCTAATCATCTCCGCTCCAATTTTGCAGCTCATATAGGTATAGTTGAAACCATTCACTGAGTACTACTAGAAACACAGACTGATTTTTCTGCTTGAGACGAGAGAAAGTTCCATGCCAGTGCTGAAGTCTGCAGCAGGAGAGCCTTGGATTCAAATTTCCTTACATGCTGTGAAAAGCGATCCACGCCACAAGTCCACACCTCTTCCTCTAGTTTGATATCCCCAGCTGAAACACAGAGAACTGGCCTGTCATTGCGTATTAACCCAAGATGAATAAGTGTACTACAGAGGCCCCTGCTAACCGCTATGAGATCAACTGATAATGACTTTCTTTTATTAAGCTTCTGATGGGACGGGCGACCCCAGTGTTGCGAAATACACCTACTTAGTGAGCTAATATGTGCTGGCAGCCAATCTGTAATCAAAAGGAAGGAAAATGGCTGTTTATTAAATCTACAGTTGTGCAGACTTAAGCTAGCCTCAGAGCACGGCTTTTTGCTGAGCGGCCGAGGGCAACATGGCAGCTTAAAGGCTTGTAAGGAAGAGGAGGGCTGCGGGATTCCTCTTTGCTCTATTTATTTTTTGCATAAACTGTTTTTACACAGTGACTATCAATCTGAAGTGCCTTTATATAAGACTCTAAAGGTCTGTGGGAGAAGCTTCCTGAGAAAAACAAAGTTAAGTATCAACTGTAATCCTTCATCCAAACTCACGCTGTTCTTCAAACACTTCAGACACACAGCACTTACGCAAACATCTTTACGTAAGCAAAGTGCAGATCTACTCCTCGTCTGCTTCTTTTTTAAACATCGCAACTCTATCGATCACAACAAAAGGGCAGAGCTGTTAAACATCATTCAGTCTCTTTATGTCTTCAAAAAAAAAAAAAGAAGCAGTAGCTTGGACTTGTGGCTCCGCTGCTGCCATACTGTTAGCCTTTTTTCTTTTTTCATTCCGCCCGAGTCATTTAGACATTTTATAGTGTCTGGCCTCTTCACTTTTCCTGTCACCATGTGGTGGCTGCATTGTGGCCCTCAAGACGTGCCTTTGACCCCCTTAAGGAGGCCAGGGTCTCGTGTGAGTGAGGTGATGACTAGCGTGGGTCAGCATGGTCTTGTTTAAACATTAGAGACCACACAGACAAGACACGGTTAGGACAGCATATGTACGCCATGTGTGTCTCAATTACAGGCAGGCCATGACTGGTCAACTGCTTAGTACTGCAGCCAGAGATGAGTGTGAGCAGTACAACACTCTGAACATAACAATCTATTATATCCTTAACTTCACTTTTTAGATCCCATCAAGCCAGTTGGAGCCCTTCTGTCTTTATGGAGCATAATAACATGTCATAGAGATCTTCTCTCAGCAGAGGGCTCCAGCCACAGCAGAGTCACAGATGTTGTAAATGTTTGCATCTTTGCATGATTTTGTGAGTTACAGTCATCCCTTAAAGATCTTACAGGGCCATGTTACAGATTTTTTTCCCTCAATTGTTTATAGGGTCTTGCTTTAAATTACACATATATCTTTATCCCTGCACGGGTTATGTACATTTCTTGTATAAATCTATTTTTAATTGCACAGTTTAAGTTTGTTTCATCTAGGGGTATTCTTTAAATCTTTTCTCGGGTTAATATATATGTATGGGAGGGGGGCGTCGGTTTTGCGGTTTAATTTGTAACAAATGTTTCATGTCTGCTACTGGATGCTTTGAATTTCCCTTGGGATCAATAAAGTATCTATCTATCTATCTATCTATCTATCTATCTATCTATCTAGCTATGTTTGCAAGGAAAATAACCCAAAGCACGGCAGACACAATGGTGTTAGTTTCTGCAGTTGCTTGGATAAGAGCTGTTTACAACAAATGTCTTGTGTTTTTTTATTATTATCTTGGTAACTCCATGATAAAGTAATGCAATCTGAACTCTGTGTGTCCATCCTCTTCTTGTTTTAAACATATGATGTCTTTGTATCAGTATGTTGGGAAGGAATAAAGTGAATTTCTTACAGCTTTGATGTCTAGTTTATGTTCACTCCGAGCTACCCAGCTACTGTCAAATGGAAAACATTTTTTAAGAACAAATGTTTATTTAAAGAGCCCCTATGACGTAAATAGACAACAGTCAATAATAATGTAGTTTTCTCTGTAGATTAAAAAAATATATTACTATTGAAAGGTCAATCTTTTTGCAGCATTGTACTTTTAAAACACAGCAGAGTGTAAAATAATCTGCCATCTGCGTGCACATGCTTGTTTTGACCCATATAGTAACCTTCTAATGTAAACTATACAGACCTGTCTATCTTCCAGCTCATATTCAAAACAAAGACACTCTCCATCAGTACAGCAAAACACACTCCTGCACTTCAGAGTTAGAACGATTCACAGTTCACACCGAAGTCAGAATAAAGTGTAAACGCTGAAATATCGGAGTCTTTTCATATCTGATTGTGTATGTAAACAAAGTGTGTGTGTGTGTGCGTTTTATTTGTTAGTATGTGTGTGTGTTTGTGTGAATGTATGAGTGACCACAAGCAAAAACAAACAAGCACACTACAACGCTAACTAGCCCTGAGAGCTGAGGGCACCTTTCAAGTGGCCAGGGCCGACACTGCAGCCTCTCACACCTCCTCCTCCCCACACTCACAGGTCACAACGAGAGCTTTGATCACTCGCCAAGTCTGTTTCCCATTCACACTCAGCACGCTCATTGATTTTCCATAAGCTGAGGAGCTGATAGGAACCCCCCCCCCCTCTCCTGTCTCCTCTTTAACACAGGTGGGCATGTGTATATGTATCAGTATCAGAGGGGGTTTAAAATCCAGAGCTGCTACATTCCTGCAGGTCTAAGGACATGAGTCCAGATGAGTGATGACAAGCAAGTGCGGAAGAAGTGCAGGACAGAAAGATTCAAATGCATAAATTGGTTTGTGGAACTGTTTCAGAGATCATCTGGGGAAAATGTTTGACATTAATAATCAGGAATAAGATGAATCACTGATATTGCATCCTGAGCTTCACTTTCTAATCAGGACTTCAGAGCTGCTTTAAAAATAGCACCCCTTTGGCAACAGAATATCTCATTTGGTACTTTATTTATAGACAACAAAAGAGACCTGCATCTATACTGCTCAAGTCTGCCTGTCTATAAACTGTCTATCTATAACCCCTAGGACTATTGTGTGCAACATCTTTGGAGGAAAAAGGGAAAAATGTAAGTGACCCGATTGCCAGAACTTAACGTCTTATTGTTTTATGGTAAAAAAAATTAAATAAAGCTGGAGTGCCATAACAACAAATATAATAAAATATAAATTAAAAAAATATATAATACTTTGGCTATTATAATCCCATGTTCACCTGCCATGGCTGCCATAGAATATTAGTCCAAAGATTATCAGAGTATTAACAGAACAATGTCGAAGCACACCTTATCTGAACTACAACAGAAAAAAGAGTAATGTAATATAAACATGTGCAATAAAATGTAATATTAATATTATCATATATTGTGTTCTGAGTCTTTTGTTGTTGTTGTTGTTGTTGTTGTTGTGTTGAAAAACTGTAACCATTAGTATTATATGCATTGCTAAACAGTCATTATAAAAGTGAAGTGTTTTTCTTTGCAATTTCTCTGCTCCCTTCTTTTCCCCTTGCCCCACACAGAAAAAAAAAAACAACTCTTCATTAACACAGGAAAAAAAACAAGGCAGAAATAGAAAGTTGAACGGGACAGAGACTCCTTACCTGGTCCCTCTGGATGCATGGCAGAGAGGTCCGGCGATGTGACTTACTGTTGGACTGACTGTTTGCCATGTCTGAGGCTATCACAGAACTGGACCTCCTGCGCCTTTTAAATACAGGGACCTCTTCCCTGCCTCCAGTCACGGGGGTGCAGCCCTCCTTGTGTCTCCCTTGGTTGGGAAGGAGCTTGTCAGCATACCTCGCCAGCAGGATGCCCAGCACTCCAACCAGGTACGCCACGTACGGTCTCCAAGTGGCCCGGACTTTGTGCAGCGAGAAGAGTGAGATAGTCCTGACTAGGCTGATGAAAACGATAACAGATATGCCCTGATTCAGCCGCGCTACCATGAGTGCGCCGGTGGCCACGCAGACGAGCACGACCACGGCTGCTGTGGAGAACGAAAGCAGCTGCTCATCTGTTCCGTCCAGCAGAGACCACGCCGCTGCCTCTCCGAGGTGGCACAAGGTTAAGAGGGAGAGGGCGGTCTGGATTAGAACCCCGCAGCGGATTAAGTAGACCCCGACCCAAAAGAAGGCACATACGAGGGTGAACAATGGCGAAAGCACACTCCAGCAAGTTTGCAACAGCTCCGCCGCGCAGCCTGAGACGAAGTGAAGGGGAGACGATGAATGCAGGAGTGTGTTGTCAGCGCTCCAATCTGCACATTTGACCAACAGAGCGAGAAAAACCGAGAGCGATCCCGCACACACCGCACTTCGGAATCTCTGGGAACCCCATATTTTTGTGAACATTAGCCTCACCCACGACTCGTAATCTCGGTCACGGCACAGTGGGATGACACATGTTTTCACATAACCATTGCGTTCCGGTGCGCTGATGGTTTTTCACGAGTACTGTTTTGCGCACCGGTGCTGTCAGATTCTGCAGGCATCGCCATAACTCATGACAGATATGAAGAATGAGGAAGACTGTAATACATCTATACCAGCAGGGTCATGAAACAGGGCATAAGTTAGTCAGCAAACAAGCATGATTTATTGCACGCATGTTGGAAAAGTACAGCAAATACGCACCGATGCGTCTCCCTTTACGCACAGAGATTTCGTTCCTCTGAACGCATTCTCTTTGTTTTTCCAGGTACGGGTGAAGAAACTACTGCCTGAGACAGCTAGAGAGGAGGTGAATGACAGAGTAACTCAGATGTTGTACAGATCTAGGGCACCGATTCTCTGCACACATGCGTCCTCTTTTGCTCTCCTTTTGTCCTCGTCACTTTGTGGCTCCTCCAAGGCCCGGTCCGTGCAGCAGCAGCAGCAGCAGCAGCAGCAGAAGTCTTTGCAAAACATCAGTCCAATTCCGCGAGCATTCAGCGGTAAAACGCGCTCCCTGTGTCCATTGTTAGTCCACTTCCCGGTCTCTCCTAAAACCGCAGAGGCTCCCTTGTTACTTTCGATGATAAACGCTGCTGAGGAATTTCAACATTAAGAGTGGGTGTCTGTCTGGTTACTGCACGGCGTTTTGAGGGTAAATCCGAAGTGTTTGTGGCCAGCTCTCCAGACTCATTCACACCCCCGAGTTCCGACTTCACACAGGGAGCAAAATATTGCAGCAGTGCAACCCCCCTAATCTTTCCTCAGCCAACCCAGCAGGCGTTGTCCTCATAAGCAGACAATTCTTTAGATTTTTCTCTCTCCTTAAAATATGTGTTATCAACATTTTAAACCAATATTAATATGAAATATTTGTTTCCTTTTGTTAATTTAAAACGCAACTAAACCTGTTTATGTATAAAAACGGGGTTGACCTATATAAAATCCTATTGAGCTTCTTTCTGAAAGGAATAAATATGGTGCAAGGAGCATATATTTCAGGCAATGCCATGTCCCAATGGGTGCATTTTGTTTATAGTTTTTTTTTTTGTCATGGTTACCCAGCAAATTTGGGTGTTAAACCCCCTGTTCCAGCAGGGGATAGATGTCTATAAATGATGAAGTGAGAAATAGAAGCTCTGCATGCAAACTGTTTGGCAGTGAAATCCCCAGACTTCACCTCTGTGGCTTCCCCCACGCTTGACTCCTAATGTCCCCACTCAACCAGGTCATTGAAATATTCATCTCACTTTAAGTGTCACTGATGATGTGTTGCGTCACAGTGGAAGATTTCCCATCAATGTTTCAGTGCTCAGGTCTTCCGTGTGCAGGAGTACATGTGTTCACAGCTTAGGAGGCTCACTTTTGTTCCCTCAAACGGCTGTGCAATGCTCTCATGGGATCACACCCTCTCACACGCCGTATAGAGACCAGAGCAGAGAAAGCACCTGTAATCTCACTCAAGTTTTCTGATGCACACGCGAAGAAGATGACATGCAGACACACACTGTTGTGTACTCTAACCCTGAAGCTTTGCTGCATCTGTTCTTCTCACAGCATCCAAATAACACAGAAGATCATTGAACGAACAAAGCTCAGTCATGCTCTGCTCTTGATTTTGCTGTCACACATCCTTTAATTATTAATGGACATCTTGCAGCTTTCAAAATAGAGAAAAATATCTTAAGCATGTGATTGACTTCAGCAGTTCAGTGATAAACATTGTGGGCTTTTTTAGCCTTGATGTAAAAAGGACTGAGGAGGGGAAAGAAAGCAGGTTAGCGCGATTCTTTATCTATTGGTGAGGACAATCGAGGATTGTGCATCCCTTGTCTGTTTTGATTAGAGGGTAGCTTGCTAGGAGACAAAGTGCAAACAGCAAGCGATAGGAGCAAGAGGAGGCTTGGTCCTGTCACTTACCTCTCAGCACATGCTCACCAAGTGTGAGCACATTTTTTGTGGCAACATCTGCGTTTCTTCAAGGTATCGGAGCTCGTAGGTAACTTTTGTTGGAAGAGTTGAAACAATTCTGCTTCATCTGACTGTTTTATTTCATGTGTGACAGGTACGAAACATTCCCTCTTTGCAAAAAGAAGATAAGAACAAGACAAAGAGAAGGGAGTGTAGTAGTCTGCCAAAAGACAAGGATTCTTTTTACTTGCAGGAAACCGTGGTGCACTCCTGTTGTGACTATTTTGTTCCCCTTTTACAGTTCAGATATCCATTAATAAGATGGAGAAAAGGTTAGCAAAAATAACTATATCTCTGAGCGGTAATGTGCTAGAAATAATACAATATGACAAGGATTATGTTAAAGGATAAAAACAAGAGACAAACTACAATTAGGCAGATGAATAGTATCCTGAAGGAGGAAGGAAACTCATCGCAACCTGCATTTTTCCCCTCAAAGAAAGGACTAATTTATAATTAAGATTAACTCAACAGATGGAAATAAATCACTACACCACTGGCAACTACGACACCCAGAATCCGAGAGAAAAATAATCCGAAAAGAATCTCTTATTGTCATGACCAACATGTCTGCAGGCCATTCTGAATTACCCGTAAGAATTTTAATGGCTCACGTAACAGTCTTACCCTATTTGGCAATGCCACGGTCCATTGTAAAAGAGGAATCTTTTTATGAGGAACAATCCATCAGACATCTGGTTTGGATGTAGCATGGGGGGGGGGGGGGGGTCATCTGATGGGACTCGAGGTCAGACCTGCACTGGCCTCTGGGGTGGCGGACAGCTGACAGAACTGATGTATATACTCAGGAAGTGTCAAAGGCCGCTTTCCTATAGAGTTGTTTACCATCCAACCACTTTGTCCTGCAACCCTGATATGCTCTCCTTGTACCCTATAAGGAAAAAATAATCCATGACCGACTGCACACTTGATTACAGACCAGTTTTAAAAAGCCTTGAATAAGCTTCAATTCATATACATCGAAAAAATTGAGTTTTTAATTAACTGTAAAGAGACACAAAGTCTGATTGAGCTAATTAACTTGGATTTTATAGAAACTAAATACATTAACCATACATTAAAAACATTGTTTTCAGAGTTGAAAGACTTAGGTGCAGAAGGAAAAAAGAAAAACCAGTGTGAATTGAGTGTTAGAAACAAGTTTACATTGTGTTTGACACTTGTGAGCAGAGTGAGATCCATCACAGAGTGTTTACCAGCCCCCATGGGCAGCGGTCGGCTTATGGCCAAGTTTCCACTGAGGTGCTGTGTGGACGCCCTTCTCCACACACACACACACACACACACACACACACACACACACACACACACACACACACACACACACACACACACACACACACACACACACACACACGCACACACACACACACACACTCACAAATGCCACCACCATCATACTCACAGTCATGCATGTGTACACTTCCGTACACAGTCATTTATCTGCCTGGTGTGAGTGTGTGTGCGTGTGTGAGTGTGTGTGTGTGTGTGTGTGTGTGTAGAACAGGGGCCGTCAAGGCTGCAGACAAGAGGAATCAACAAGCTCTTCCTCTCTCTTTAAAACCATGGATTCCACCTGAAGTTGCTACTTGAACCATAATTAGCCTTTGTTACTTTTAGACAATCAGGGCAAAAATGGATCAGGAACCAACAGCAGAGCCAAATGCATTATGTATGAGTCTGGGACAACGATTTCAACAACTGCCAAAGTATTTCAATCAATAGTTAAATCATGTACGATCGAGGGATACATCGGCAAAAGACAGCATAGTGATATAATTATTCAGATCCAATTTCATAAATCCTATATGGACTAGAATAAGAATGCTTGAGCTGATGACTCAAAGCAAATACTAGCAATAGAAACTGTAATTCCCCTCTGGTGTAATGAGAAATCGAAAAAAATCTGTGATCCAGACATGTGGTTGAGTGCTCAATAGATCAACAGAGAAGAATAATATAAAGGATTTAAAAGTCAATTAATCAATTTTCAAGCAAACTTGTCAAACTTTGGATGATCCAGACTTCTCATTTCATATGGAATAAACAGGATCTATAAACCCAAGGACTGATGTCTAGTTGTGAAATGTTTGAAGACAAACAAAACTTGATTAACAGAGAAATTGATCTGCAGATTAACCAAAACAGAAAATGCTACTGTTCACTTCATTCCACTGTTGAAAAGGAAACTTGCTTCAGTACCTGTTGGCAATTATCACTGCTGAGAGTCGACTGTCACTGTGTGTAGAAGAGGGGTTATAAGAAGTCACAAAACACAGGAAACAAACTACAGACAAACAAACAAGCTCAAAACACCCACATTGGGCAGGACTTTAGAACGCTTTTAAATATATAAACAAAGTTTTACACTGACTGCTGCTGACAGCGTTTCTGTTTTTTTTTTTTTACTGTTGCTCAAGTTAACTTTAAAATTTCAGTCAAACACATTTAACACCTAAAGTAATGGTAACTAACTAACCAAAAAAAGATTAAGCTGATTCATGATGAATTTTAAAATACACACGTTTTAATTATCTACTAAACTAAACCTCTAAACTGTCTTTCTTTTGCCTTCAGGACAAATAATGATGAGGTTCTGTTTTTTTTATTTTGTTTGGACAATGTCAAATAAATGTTTTTTTATTTGTATGCCTTTATTGGAGAGACAGGACAGTGGATAGAATCGGAAAATAGGGAGATAATTTTTTCTATACTGTGCAATATATATGATCTGCCTCATTATAGGCCTTACTTGAATGCAAGTTGTTTGTTGTCTGTAGCTGTGGATACCTGTATGTGTGTGCACTTTAATGCGATGCTTTCTAATTTTGTTGTACAATTGTATAATGACAATAAAGTCTTACTATTCTATTCTATAGGAAGAGAGAGTGGGTAATGACACATGCAACAGGTTGGATTTGAACCAGGCTCGCTCTTTGTAAGTAAGCAGGAAGGTATCGCTATCTTTAAAAATAAAAAAAATTAAATCACAGTTGCAGTAATTGTACCTGTAATAGTATTTTAATTGTGTTGTACTGTTACTCCTACACAAGAAGTTGATCTGAACACTGCAGAACCACATTTACCAATGTCAGCTTCTCAGGAAAAAACTCCTCAGCTCATCTCCATCTTCCTAAACTTTCTGGCATTATGAGTTAAAACGGGTTTTATGTTTCTCCACTAGGCTCATACAGACGTAAAATATGCTCACCAGTAGGGCTCAGATTTTGGAGAATGATGGGGAGGAAGATTGGGATTGAATTAGAAGAAGGTACTTAATTCACTGGTGTGGGTGGGAGCACTGCGGGCAGAGAGAAAGAGAAAGTTGAAACACTGCCTCAGATGAATAATGCAATTCCAAGGTTTATGTGGGAAAGGAGCCGTACATTTGATTGCATATGTATTCAGGGGAGTCAGAAAAGTTTCATGCATAAGTTTTGAATATTTCACATCAAAGTTTTCAAAGCTGCACTGCCACTGCAGCTCTATCAGGCCATGTGGCAGTTTTGCTGCTTGTCTTAGACACCAGATATCTGCTTAAGTCTGGGGTTTATGCTAACCTAGGGAAACTGCAGGAGCTTCTATTATCTCTCTCTTGTTCTGTAAATTTACTTCATAAGCCTTCTCAAATAATGCAAAATAAAACTTTAGATCATGGCTTGACACACCAGGCAGCCAAGTGTAATTGGTCTGTGTTTGTTCAAGACCGGCCAGGAAAAAC